TTTGGGGTAGCAAACCCTGCTCCCCCACACAAAAAGACATCTCTTTGTCAGAGTGACACCTCAGAGTGCTTAGTTCTCTGCCCTGTTCCTTACTATACTACTCCCTGGCTCTGTGGCCTTGGGCAAGTTATATTCCATGTGGAACCTCAGTTTCTCCATCTGTAAAATGGGAGTCAGAATAGTACCAGCCTTACAAGAGTAAGAATTAAATGCAAAGATGTCTGTAAAAGCCTTGGCAAAGTGCATGGTATGTGCTGTTTGCAAAATGAAATGTAAACTTGTAACCAGGGCCTTGATCTGGCCTGAGCCTTCCTGACGGCTGTTTGCAGGAGTGTGAGGTGGGCACAGGGCGAAGGCCCCTTTCTCTCTCGTCTCCACTCTGACCTCCGGAGGACTGGGCGGCAGGGCGGCTGCCACGCTGTCTGCTGGGTTGCCAGGTCCCAAGACCACACGCGCAGCTCCTCGCAGCATGTTGACGGGCCATGGGTCTGTGTCCACCCCTTATGCTTTTTATTCATTTAAAATCAGGAGCAGAGGCTGGGTTTTCTAGACCCAGGGGAACGGGCTTGTGCTGGTCGTGAGGCCTTGGCTGTGGAGCGACTGAGTAGGCGAGTCCCGCCTCTGAGCGAGCCCTGCGTGTCCTGACACTCGACGGGCGTCCGTCTCAGAGGACACCTCTGAACATGCAAGAACGGAAGTCTCGTGGACTGAGCAGGGAACGAGGACCAATTTGAGGGCCTTTTCCCATATGTGTGGGTTGCAGGGAAGGTGAGGTCTGCTTTGCCCTTAGTGATGAGGGTGAAGTGTTGGGGCCGGTGGCCTTTGCTAACACGTGACTGCACAGCTGGGTGGGTGTTCTCACCAGGATTCGTGGTCTCCCTGGTCCTTCCCAGCACTGACCCCAGGGAGCCTTCCTGTTTGCTCCTCCTTGGCCCTGCCCTGAGGCCTGGGGTCCCCCTTCTTGCTCCCTCAACACCTCAGACTCATCTGTCAGTGCACTCTCCACTCCCATAATTCTCTCTTTTTTATGTCTTTATTGATTTTAGAAAGAGAGAGAGGAGGGGAGAGGGAGAGAGAGAAACATCAATGATGAGAGAGAATCATGGATCAGCTGCCTCCTGCACACAACCCGGGCATGTGCGCTGACAGGCCTTGAACTGGGGACTTCTTGGTTCCTGGGTCAGTGCTGAGCCCCTGAGCCACACCCACCGGCCATATTCTCTCTCTTAATGTGCACCCCTCCCCCCGGGTTGTCCTGAGGGCAGGGACTGTGCTCTGTTCATCCTGGATGCCCAGCACCTTGTCGCGCGTGCTCAGTAGGTGGCAGATGGATGATGGCACGCACACGCGAGGACAGTTTGTCGTTCTGCTGAGCTGGGTGCCGGGTGGTGGAGGAGAGCGCGCACGTGTGTTGAACCATCCCCGATGGAATACTCTCTTCTCATCAGCCCTCATGTCTTGTTTCATGCCTCCATTCCTGGCACAGTTGTAGTCTTTCTGTTTTGCTCTCCCTTTTTTCCCCTTTGACAGATCCAAGTGTTACTGTTTCTCCTTAGGAACCTACCCAGTTTCAGAGTGGGGGCCCCCACTTCCACTCTGCTGTGGCTTTTTCCAACCTTCCTGCCACCCACTGACCCCTCGTGGCCTGGCCCCCGCGGAGCAGGCCCTCACTGGGCACTCCCCCTCCCCACGTCCACCCTCAGGGAACTCTGGGTCCCGCCCCATCAGCCTTGCGTCCCTGCTGGACGGGGCGGGGCTCTGAGCTTGACGGCATCCCAAGCTCTGGTCTGTATTTAACCAAAATCTTTGAGATTTTAGAGCTGTGTCTGCCGTCTCCATCCTAGGCCGTGAGCCACCCGGAGCAGGGACCAGTCTTACCTTCCTTTATGCTTCCTTGTATTTTCACACCTAAAAGCGGGGACGGGGGGTGGGGCGGGGGGCTGAGAACATCTGGCCTATGGACCATATAAGACCTGAGAAATCACTGGGTCTGGCCCTGCCATGGCGTTAGGGTGAGTTAATTGACGGCCAGGGTCTGGAACCCGCCCTGCCACCCCCGCTGCCCTCTTAGCACCACCTCTTGCCTGATAGCAGGCTTCTGGTCTTTTCTTGGGCTCATAGAGACTAGAAAAGAGGGGAAGGCGGACATAGGTGCACACAGGCGTGCTCTGCCCCTGATTTTAGAAGATACCCAGACCCTCGGTGGTCCAGGGACCGCAGGCCACAGGTCCTGCCCAGAGGAATGGCACCATTGAGCCCTGGCCGGTGGCGGGTTGGATTGTTGTCCAATGCACCAAAAGGTTGTGGGTTCCATCCCGGTGGGGGCACAACCTCAGTCGGGGTGAGTATGGGAGGCAACCGATCGATGTTTCTTTCTTTCTCTTCCTTCCTCTCTCTCTCTAAAAAAAAAAAACAATCTAAAAAAATAAAAAACAACAACATATCCTCGGGTGAGGATTAAAAAGAGAGAGAGAATGCCACCATTGAACCTCCTTAGGAAAATAAAATGGCAGCTGATTGCATTTATTTTAGTCCATTGCTTTCTGAAAACATCGGCTGAAAACGGTATATCCCCAACTTTCAAGTAGTTCAGAATGTATTCTTTTCCACAATAACCGCGTGGCATCATACCTGAGCCCTGACATAAAGGGACCATTCACACCCTTGGGTAGGCTTTTGCCAAAGAAGCCGTCAGCAGACGCCACGTGACAGCCGAGTGAAGATTCATGTGGTTTCAGGCTCGGCTCTCGGCTGCAGATTCGCGTTGGAAACCCTCCCTGAGCAGCCTGCACCGGGCGGCTGATGATGTCCATGGCGAGGCAGCTGCACTAATGATATATTTCCACAGAGTCCGCACAAGCTGCTGAAAGATTACACTGCCTCCCCAGACGGACCCTGACAGAGGCTTCAGGACATGCCCTGCTCCTCCTCCTCCTGGTACACGTGCCGCCTCCAAGAGGAGCGTTTGCACGTGTGTCTGTCTCAGTGAAGGAACCGGCGCCTCAGCCTCCGAACAAACCTGGCTCTGACGGGTGCCATCGGGAGGCTCCCTCTGTGCTGTGGGGGGCAGGGAGCACGGTGGACGGGGGGCTGTCGGCACGTTTGGGAGATGCAGCTTCAGGCTGACCCAGTGAACCTGAGGAGCTGCTTTCCATGCTCACCTGTGCCTGCGGCTGAACATCCCTCCCCCGCATTAGAAAGGAAAAGGGGGGGCGTTGGCTCTGCGATGAGGTGGTCTGGGCGGATCCTCGCTCCCCACCATCTAGCTCTGGCCTGGGCAGGTCAGTCCAGCTCAGTCTCCAAGGTGCTAATCAAAGGAAACAGAACCGATCCGTTGTTTTCAGAATTATATTCTCTAGAGCCCAGGGTCTCAGCACGGGCGTTAGGTGGTCCACAAATGGCTGATTCATGTCGCCATGTATTTTTTCCAAAGTATGTCTTTTTACAGACATACATTTTATAATATGTAAGTTTTATAACTGTGTGTGTAAGTTTTACATATATAAATTTCATTTAAGTTTTAACAGTTTGATGAGATGTAATTCATACACCATTTAAAGCGTACTATTCAGTGGTTTCTAGAATATTCACAGAGTTGTGCGACCATTGCTGGTATCTAATTTTAGACTACTTTCATCACCCAGGAAAGAAACCCCATGGCCATTAGCGGTCACGCCCATTCCTCCCACTCCGCACGCCCAGGCCTGGGCAGCCACGAATCTCCTTTCTGTCTGTGGCGTGGCCTCTTCTGGGCAGATCCTATCCGTGGCATCATACGCGCTGTGGTCGCTTGTGGCTGCTGCTTTCATTTCAGTAATGATTCCCAGGCTCATCCATTCCGTGTCAGATGTCAGTACTTCTGTCCCTCCTGTGGCTGAATAATAGTGCATTTTATCCATCCACTCGTCCGTTGATGGGCATTTGGGTTGTTTTCACATCCTGGCTCTTGTAAAGAATGCTGCTGTGGACATTCATGTACAGACTTTTGTGTGGGTATGCTTTCGTTTTTCTTGGATTATATCTAGTAATGGAGTTGCAGGGCACATGGGGTAATTCTATGTTTAACATTCTGAGGTTTGATTTATATGTGTACATATTATATACTTACAGAAGTATATAGTGATATAAAGTATTTTTAAAACTGCAGTAAATATATAAACCCAGCAGTGTTCTGTAGCAAACCCTGTCACACTGGTGACCATCAATGTATTCGTTACACACTAATTAACCTGTGCTGCCAGAGTCATGTGATTTTGTGCAAGTAAACTTCACCTGCCACATTTAATTGAATTGGACGCTGAGATGTTTAGAAACGGTTGCCATGGGCACCTACTCATCTGTGTCTGTTGGGATCATCTCCATCCTGTACAACTGAGACCAGAAGATAAGTCAGTCAGATGCTGAGATTGACCTGGGACTGCAAGTGCCAGTCACAACTCCTGGTTTCAGATCTATTATTTATCAAACTAACTTTGTTGCTCTAATAGTGATGGAGTTACAAGGAAATGTGTACGTTCAGATTTATAAGATAATTATTCTAATCTAGTCTAAAAATTTATAATTATTCTAGATTATGTTTTGGGGTTTAACCTAAGGCTTACTTTGAAACACACACACACACACTCACACACACACACACACTCTCACCCCAATATTCTGTTGCTCAAAAAACAATTGAGGCCAGCGGTCTGAGGCCGGCTTTGTTTGGGGCCTCTTCCTGGCATGGGCGGGGCTTTGCTGTCTTGCTGAGTCTCTCAAAAACATGCTCCTCCGACTCCCGGGAGAGAGAGGAGCCACTCCTGCCACTGGTGGGCGGGCGTGGGCAGCTGTCCATGCTGTACTTTGGGTGTGTTGGTGCCCACGCCCGCCCACCAGGGGCAGAGAAGGGACGACAGCCATCTGTCCTCCAGGTGCGTGCGGTCAGCGGTCAGATGAGGGTGTGGGACCAGAGTAAAGGCAGTCACTCTGCAGGTGTCCAGATATGAATATTTCCAAACACAGTGAAGACACCACAGATAGGAATTCAGAAAATGTCAGGGGCAGCTTTGCAGAGCAGGTGGCAGCACCCGGCACCTGGGGAGGGCTCGGGTGGGTGGGTGGAGCAGATTCTGAGTTTTCCTCTGAAGTGAGATGTGATCACCCTCGGGCACCCTCACCCCGTTACTCCCTGTGCAGTCGGGTTCTGCGGTGCCTACTCGGTGTACAGCATTGGGAATGAACGTCGGTGGTCAGGGAGAAACAAGGCATTTTTAAAGGTTTCCAGAAAGGAATGAGCTCATTTCCTGGAAGGAAAAGGCTTGTGTTGGCTGAAGCTAGATGGATAAGGAAGCATCAGTCTTCATTTCCACGAGCTGCTATTGAGCACAGGTCACCATGAATCTGAAAAACTACAAAATAAAGATGGACGAAATCCAGTCAATCTTGAATCTGCTAGAAATTACCGTGGGGTCTCTCCAGCTCCCTCTAGAACTGGCCCTGGTCTGCTGGGGCCCAGCTGCCTCCTGGCTCCTGCTGGCTCCTACTGGCTCCTGCCCTGGCTCTGCTCAGGGAGTCCTCTGGGCCTTGCATACACTGGCTCCTGCATCGGGTTCGGCCCCTCCTGGGCAGCCTGTGTGAGAAGTCCTTCCTGGCTTACCCCTGAGCCGTCCACACGGGTCTGGGCAGTCCTTCTCGGGGGTACTCCCCTATCTTCCTAGTTAAACGGGGCTCCCCTGTGAGCTCACGGCACCTCCCTCTGCTTCCCACACGCCACACCTGGTCTGTCCTGGCCGTGACCTCTGGGTCCATGTGCAGGACACCCAGCCACCCTCCCCGCCTGGCTCAGGGAACCTTTCACAGGGAACGCTGGATTCAATTCCTTGAACGCTGATGCCCACCTGGAACACACGCAAGTTGACCCAAACTCCTTGGACTGGTTATGTTAGATCAATGGGCTCTTTTTCCTCCAGGATGAAGCTGGCCCTTTATTCTGAGTGGTTTTCCGTTGCTGTGTATCCTTCACACCTGCACCCTGTCCTGGCTTGGTCCTCACGTGTCCACCCCCCACAGTGGGCATCCAGCATGTTATGTAGCAAGGACAAGGTGGTTCGCCTCATCAGCCTCACAAAACCCCAAACTTTCCTGGTTCCTGCACCC